CCCCCCTCCTCACCTGCTACTTTGGCCGGTGACGGAATCCGGTAATGGGACTGGGCGGGAGGGAGAGATTGGGAGACAAAACACGGAGTCGAGGAGCTCTCCACGACTGAAGGCTCCGCTTGTTTTACACCGTTGTCATGACAACAGGTCTGACGTCATCACATCCGGGCGCCGGAATCTGTGTTCTCACAAACTCACTGTTTTCGACTAGCCGATAAAAACTACCGATGAATTTGAACTCGCAGAAATAAGAAGCTAGCCAGAGTAAGTGTGCATGTGTTGGTTTTTTTATAACAATGTTATGAAACATTTTTTAAAACATGAATATGAGATGATGGTTTACCATCTTATTCTAAGGATGCACGAGTGTGTATTGTTATGTATGTCTTTTCAACGCTGCGTGTAAATAATAGGAATCAAAGCGTTTCTAAGTAGCCAAGTTGTGATATTTCGCTAGAGTGTATTCTTGAAAATGTTGGGACTTTTCAGAAAAGGAAGGTAAAGGCATTGGGTTGATAAAAAGCTGATCAACAAAAGCAGAAATACAACAGAAAAAACCCAGACTTGAATAGAATAATGGTGAACGTCTACAGACCAGCACTTCCCCCGTGTATTAATTGTTACTCCTGGCCACAGAATTCTACGACACTGACTACACGAGACGAGACAAGTACTAGTAACTACGAGATTGTACAAAAATCTACCAACATTCTTCTGTCACAGTCTTCTCTGAGGTCAGGAAAACTGTCCGAAAACAAAGGCAAGTCTACCACAGAGTCAGAGATATTGTCTTCAGCTCGCGTAACGCAACATCCGACCAGTAGTAGAAGGCAGAGTTTACAAAGCACTCAGTACAATACGCCATCTCTGACGACTTCAAACCCTCGTCAGTCCTCCGATCATATACTCCCCCTCCTCTGGACTCGTCCAAGTGTCTATGGCGTCACTGTACTCCGAGACTTTGGGGCATGCGCAAATGACGTCGCTGCCTAGATTCGGGGCCCGGCTTAGACCGTCAGCCTCAACAGTCAGGTCGCTATGTGGACTGTTGTGTACCGAGTGGTTGCCGTAGCACGTTGCTGGGGGGAACTCCCGACTACCCAGGGGCGATGTTTCCAGTTCGGAGCATTCGGTGTCGTCAGGTTTTGCGACAACAGAGCCCGTCATGCGAATAGCTCCCGTGTTGGCGAACAGAAGCGTCTCGTGGCTTTGCTTCGACTTGGACTTGGGTTTTTTGCCTCGTCCCGTCAGCTGAGAGAGAGGTGAGCGCCTGAACTTATTGAGGAAGGAGAAGGAGGAGGAGGAGAAGGAGGAGGGAGAGGGCGAGGAGGTGTTGTTCGTTGTCGGGGGGGCACCGGGTGAGGGTAAGGGTGATGACGTGGGGGCCGACAGACTGGTCGCCGCCGCCGCTGTTGTTGTTGTTGCTGCCTTTGAAGATCGTGGGAACAGTTTGGTGGGCCCGTGTCTGGCTCTCAGCGAGTGCTTAAAGTTCTGGTTGCTGCTCCCCGACACGCCCCCACTGCTGGCTCGCTTTGTCCGTGACGATACAGATGACGACGATGAGCTGAAGTTCGTTTTCACTTTTCCGTTACGAGATAGTTTTGACCTGACGCTGCTGAGCAGCCCGTGCCGCTCCTCGCCGAAGTGCCGACGTCTGGACTTGGACTTTGACTTTGACGAGCTCTGTCGAGGTTTGATGCACTTGAAGAAGGCGAGCAGTGCGAACAGATGATACTGCCTGAGCGTGAACAGGCCGTAGAGAAGCGGGTTGAGCGTACTGTGAACCATCACCAAGAACTCGCTCATCGTTTTCAGAGTTTCGATTTTGATCTTGTAGTCGCTGAAAATCCGCACCAAGTTCACGAAAAAGTAGGGCGTGTGACACAACAGGAAGCTGAGGACCACGGTCAAGGTCATGACCAGGGCACGTCGCTTGGACGCGGTGACCAGACCTCGGCGGACGCTCATACGTGGCGACGCGGGGTACGCGCTCAGGTGCTGGCTTTTTTCCTGAGGCTTGACCAGCGTGTCTGGGGCCAGTCTCTCTCTCTCACGATTGGTGGAAGCTGCCGACGGGGACCGCTCCTTCTCGCGGTGATCACTACACGCGTCATCGGTGTCCGGGGAGGACACGTTCCTGGCCCAGTGCACGCTGTTGGTGCTGCCCGAGCGTGAGTGACCCTGACCTTGACCTGAGAGTGCAGACGCTAATTTCCTTTTCGCGGGACTGCCCGCCCCTCCCTGCTCGTCTGACGTCACAACGACGTTCGGCGTCACCACAATCGTCCCGCTTGTCGACGCCGCCATTTTGCAGGAGTTGGAGGCCGAGTTTTTCGACTCTACAGAAGAATTCCTCCCCGTCTTCGACTCTGAAGAAGAAGAAGAAGACGAATGGTTCCTCCCTTGTTTCGAGCAGGGGGAAGATGATTCCTTTCTGGCAGACTTCCCAGCTGACATCGACGGCATGGGGGGAGGCGGCGCTGCCATGAGCGAAGAGCTCTCGTTCCTCGCCCGCAGCCACACCACCTTGACGATGTGCGCGTAGCAGTACAGCATGATGATCATGGGCACCACCAGAATGTAGGTCATGTTGAAGGTGTAGTAGACCTTGCGTTGCCATGGTGACGTGTAGCCGTTGCTGCCGCAGACCCGGCGTGGCGTGCCGTCCTCCTTGGTGCCGTGGGTGTACTGAACGAAAATGAAGAGCTGCGGGATGGGGAAGAGAAGGGAGAGGATCCAGGCCAGGGCGATCTTGAGCCAGATTCTGGGGCGTCGGGCGAGGGACTGCATGGGCTTCACGATTACCTGGTGGGGTGGTGGGG